GTGGGGGGCTCAGACACAGGCACCTGCCTAGCAGTGAGAGACCTGGTCCGTCCTGCACCCCACACGAACGGGCCCTTGGCACCGCCCCGAGTGCGCACCCACGAAGGGAAAGACTGACCCGTGGGACTGCATCAAAATGAAAATCTTCTGCTCTGCCAACGAGACGGACAGGAGAATCCCCAGGGCAGCTGCAGGCTTGATGAACAAGCGCACAGAGGCCCCAACAGCGCCGCACCAGAATGTCACACAAGGGCACCCCGCCCCGCCCCGACCCAGGGGTCCACGGCCGCCCACCCGCTGCCCGCCCAGGGAGGCCAAGGGCCAGACCCCGGAGGCGCCAGGCGCTGGGGAGGATGTGGGGCAGGAGCCCTGCGGCTGGCGAAGGCTGAGGAGGGTGCTCCACCGGGGGACAGTGTGGTGGCTTCTTACAGAACTAGACCCGGGGCCCGGGGTGGGTCAGGTCTGGGGACGGGGCCAGGCAGACGCTCTCCCTGCAAACTCACCCACGGACCTCGGCAGCCCCCTGTGGACCACGGGAGACCGACTGCCCGCGGCTGATGGGGAAGGAGTCTCCATTCCGTGTCCCTCGGGGAATCGGGTGGAAAGTCTGCCCCGTCCAGGACAGGCCCCGCCCCACGGGCCTGACCACACAGTGCGCGGCCGGCACGGGCCAATCCGGCTGATGAGGAGGGAAAGACCCGGGACCTGAGATGGAACCGGCCACGGCAGGGTGGGCCTGGGCAGCACAGTGTTTGAAAGCCTGCAGCTCAGCTCAGGGCTCGTCCTGCAACAGATTCAGCCTTTGCTTTTTGGAACTTTCTGGAAATTAAAAAAAAAAAAAAAAAATTCAACCCAGAGTGTCTGAATCCACAGATGTGGAGCCTGAGGATACGGGGAGCCAGCGGTAGATTCATTATAACATTTACAGTGCCCCAAACTGGAAGGAAAATATCCCGGGACAGGCAAAGAGATAAATGGTGGTATATCCAGTCGTGGAATACTATTTAGCAATTAAAAAGATGTGAAGTACCAACAAGCCACAAAAAGACACCGGGGAACCTTAAAGGCATATTGTCAGGCACAGGAGGCACCTAAAGAGGCTACGTACCGTGGGATTCCAACATACGACCTTCTGGAAAGGTGAAACTGTGACAGTGTAAAGACCAGTGGTGGCCGGTGGCTTGTGGGGGAGGGGGGAGGGGGGAGTAAGTAGCACACAGGGGACTCTCAGGGCAGTGAAGCCACTCTGCGTGGTACTATAATGGTGGACACGTGACACCCCACTCTGTCAAAGTCCAGGGGACATCTGGATGCGGCCGTACGCGCCTGCAAGGCCGGCTACAGAGGAGGTGAAGGCAGGAAGACCTCAAGTTTAAGGCCAGCCTCAGCAACTGACGGAGACCGCGTCTCAAATCAGACTTTTGTTTTAAAGGGCGGGGGATGCAGTGGTAGAAGGCCCTCAGGTTCAATTCCCCGTAACCGACAAGAAATCGAGATCACAGAAGACACAACACGGTGCACCCTGATGTGCACGTGGACTTCAGCTGGTGATCTGTCTCCACCTGCTCCACAGGCGGGGGGCGGGGGGCGGTAGAGCGCTGGCCCAGCAGGGTCGAGCCCCTGGGCACAGTCCCCAGCAACCCCCCCCCCAAAAAAAAATCTGTAAGACGCTAACCATGTGTGGGGGGGTGCTACGTGGAAACCGTCCTTTGCTCAATTTTTCTGTGAATGTAAAATGGGCCTAAAAGATCCATTATTTCAGGGGGTGGAGAAGACAAAGAAAAGCAGGAGCCAAACAGGCAGGACTCAAGAGGAAGGAGCACTGGCCTCGGGAGCCGGAGGAGGGCCTGCAGGGCACTTGTAGAGGGCTCCGGTGTCCGTCCTGCGGGGCCCCTGCCCCTTGGGGTGGGTGCTGATCAGCCCCCGTAACCCCCCAGTTCTGCAGCCACAGGCTCATCCAACCACACGTGGAGGACACCTGGGGGGAGCTGCAGCTGTGACTGAACACGCTGACTTTTTGGGGGGGCATTATTTCCTAACAACACAGGGTGACAACTACTTGCTGGTTGTTCTGCTCACGCAGCAGGCGCTCTGTTAGACTTTCGGAGTCACCTGGAGACGAAGTCTATGGGGAGGATGGGGCTGTGTCATTTCATATGACAGGTAGGCACCCGAGCATCCTCAGATTTGGGGGCCCACGGATACTGAGGGAAGATGTATTGTTATCCGTATTTCACAGATGAAGCAAGCCCAGAGAGGCAAAGTCGCTTGCTCAAGGTCACACAGTGGCAAAAAACAAAACAAAACAAAACAAAAAACAAAACAGACTCCCAACGACCAGGAGGGGCACCTGTGGGTCACTGGGAATCCCAGCAGCCCAGCCCTGTTGGCCAGGCTGCAGGGGGCCGGCCCGCTCCGCTCCGGGTTGATCAGAAAGCTGTTTGCTGAACACATCGGAATGAGTCACCGTGGGTGGTGTGCCCTGGGCTCCTTCCAGATGGGAGGGTCCAGGATCGGGGACCCCAGAGGGGTTGCTCAGTCCCCCTGTGGTGCCCGGCCACACCCCTGCATCAGCCCAGGGGTCCAGCTACTGTGGGTGGCAAAGCCTTCCTGGCCCAGGGACAACCAGGCAACCGGGGAAAGAACAGGAGGCCAGAGAGTCCCCAGACCCGCCCACAGACACTCTGGTCACATCGAGGAAGGACCTCCCTGCCCAGGACCCTCTGGCTCCAGCCCAGACCACTGCTGTGCCCACCTGGCCAGCACAGGCCACAGGACAGCCCAGCGCCCATCCCTCCAGGGGCTGAGAGGCCCCAGGTCAGGAGCCCCAGGCCAGCCACCACTCAGCTCCTGGTCACCCCGAGATGCTCTCCCTGAGCGGGGCTCCCCCTCACCCGCTGAAGACCTTGGCCTCAGGGTCAGACATCAAGCCCTGCCTCAGGGTCAGACTTCACACCGCCCCCCACCACCACATAAGCACCTCCTCTCCCCCCCCCTCTGTTCCCCAGGGGCAGAGCCACCCTAGGTGTCAATTCAGGTTCCCTGCCCCCTGGTCCACTGCCATGGAAGTCCCTAAGGGCAGGGACTTTGTCCACCTGCTGTGCCCCTCGGGGCTGACTGGAGTAAGGACACCGGGGTGTGGGGGACAGAAGGGCCCTTGGAAGGTGCCCCACCCCCAGCCTGTTCTGGGTCGCTGGAAGAGGGACTGTCACCACTGTTGTGACTCAGTTGTCACTTGGCAGCCAGTGAAGGCCAGGGGCCTGCCAGGGTCTGCGGACCTCCGCCTCTCTCGGCCGCCCCTGCCTCAGTTTCCCTCACTGTGGGGCTCACCGGGGGGTGTCTGGGGGTGGGCGGGGTCCCCAATACTAACACCCCGAGACGTTGACACACCAGGTTTCGTTTTCTTAGGGGGGGGGGCTTGCAGCAGATGAGGGTCCCGAGGGTCATCCACCATGGATCTGGTGACCCCAGGCTTCCCGCCGTTGAGGGTTCTGGGGGCCCCTCTCCCCTCCCACCCGGGGGGCCTCCAGGCCG